TGTGTCCTCAGTTGCTGAAATATACATAAGAAGTTCGACATTAATTAAAAAGACTTGTACATCTTAGAAGCTATTTGTGAATAAAGAATTTTCTTTATTTCAAAATTAACAATTGTGTCAGTATATTTTATTTTGTGCTTTATACTTTCTCTAAGGGTCTTCTGTTATTCTGCTACATGGCGGTTTGCTCAACTAGGGCCAAATGTTCCTTGGAATATCATATATACATAGCAGTACATTAATTAAAGATATTATCACTGCTAATATTGTTGGTTGGCAGTGGCAGTGATGACTAGTTGCCCTTCACTGCTAAATTAAGGACAACTAACGCAGATAGTTCTAGTGTAGTTTTGCACGAAATTCAAACCAAACGGTCTGTCACTTACTATACTGTTACGTCTCCGTTCGCTAGTTAATTTTCCCTAACTTCGTTCCGATGAAACTTTAGCGACACAAGTCCTTTCTTAATAAAACTGGTTTATTCTTTCTGAATATAACTTTGTGATACACTTAATTTCAACAGTCGCGCTATAACAAACGTCTCCCGTGCGCGACTTTAACAATACTCAGTTACACACTCTCTGACTGTAGTTCAGTTACTCATTACCTTATTCAGTCACGTTGTGAGCGTCTTATATATACCAGACTACCCCCAATCTAGTAAATGCTAGGGCATTCATTAAGGAACAGGATATTTCTAGAAACAGGTGGCGTGATACTAGTCAAGTGACCTCGCTGACGCAACACTGCCCCCTCCTTAGTATTGTTCGTCCCGAACAATAGCCACTTACAATAAACCAATAACAATTAACAATAACTTAATTAAATGTACAGAATTACAAACACAAAATTACAATTCAACAAAGTCTCTTAATTTTACGGGACATATCTTCTTCAATACTGGTCTCCGTCTCGTTGGCTTCTGCTTCACGTGGGGTTCATCTGCTTCATCAGGAAATGTCCTATCGTCGGTAACAGTCACATCAGTGGTAGTAACTTCATCAAGAGCTTCACCGTTTCCCTTCTCAAAACTGAGTAGAGTTTCTTCTTCGACTATATGACTAGCCAAATCTTTCCAAGAATAACGTTTCTACAACTAAATGTTGAGTTCCTGTCAGTTTGCATGAATTCAGATT